AGAATCTACTGCCATAATATGTCATCTAACACGCCGCAAGAGTTCATCACCTTGGAGTCGGGTACGGAGAACAACTTTGCTAATGTGTATGCCCAGATGCTCCAAAATGGGGGCGACTGCAGTGGTGCTGTGCAATCCACATTGTACCGAAATCGAGGCACTACTTACTTCAGCAAGGTGCGCCTTGATATCACAACCATGAAAATTTTGAGCAATGTCTTCACCTTCGCGCAGACTCAGGGAGGTAAAGACATCCCATATGGCGAAGCTGGCGATTGCTATTCGGAGAATCCTGGTGACTGCCGCAAAGGTCAGTTCAAGGTCGACCTGAACGGAACGGGACTTCGTGTTGGGGACGATGTGAACTGGGAAGCATCGGGATACCCGAGTATTTTGACAATGCAGGACTACCAGAAGTCTCCTGATGGTGCAGTGGTGTCTGCCAAGTGTGGAGGTTGGTGTGGTTCATGTAAGCCATCTGGGGGATTTATCATACTGGAGGCTTTGTGCTCCATTCCTGCTGGTAGGTATAATTCATAATCGTCTTATTTGCCCCTTTTTGGGCTTTCTTGACACCACTGGCCGTGAAATTACTAAATAGATTTCGTGCGTTTGTTCAGTAATAGATAACAGATGACGTCAAAATTTGGAAGGAACAAAAAAGTGGCGCCGAGTGTGTCACTGATTTTTTGGGATCTTTTGCTGTCCTGACCTGACCAATAGTGACGTCACCTCCGCCTGCCTCTTAGTTTGTCTATCTGTCTGTCTACGTGCATGCCTTAGCTTAGTTAGTCTGGCGAAGTTTATAAATACAAAAATAAATACAAATAAAAAATAATAGAGATGTAAGTGAATGTCATGATATGATTTATTACTGTCCAGTTTAGACTCCTCACTAGCTGTGGATGAACACTGACGCCTTTAGGAATACGATACTGGCACGCGGCGGTAGTGACAGAATTAGTAACTGCATTTCATCAGGGTCGGAAGGGCTAATCGATCCTCAGAAGACAAATGCAGTTCAACCATCATGTTCAAGAATTGAAGGAGGTCACTCCATCGATAAGGATTACTATCATCTACAGTCCGACGCTCATAACCTAGAACTAGGTCTTATATTTGTACCACCAAGTTATGTAAAGACAAGTGAATAACACGTAATAATCGTAAGATTTCTGAAAAGGTAATCTAAGTGGGCCTCAGTGGGGTTAACTGTCAATCGTCAAATGGCCAAGAATATTCACCGTCAACCTTCCTGAAATCTTTTTTAACGTTCATTGTGAAATAAGCAAGCCAATATTAGCCGTCAAATATCTCAGATATCTTTAATTGAAAACTAAGCAATTGCCTTAATTGTGGTCAAGTTCTGTTGTTTATAAATAAAAGTTTTGATATATTACAAAAATACATATATCTTCCCACCAACCTTCTGCAGCGGACTTAAAGAAATGTAGGATACTAAAGGATTTGAGGAAGAACAAGGACATTGTAATACTGAAGCCTGACAAAGGAAATGGCTTAGTTGTCATGGACAGGAAAGCCTACGAAGAGGGTATTTTTTCCATTATCAGTGACACTTCTAAGTTTAAGGTTAATGATAACGATCCTACATTACAAAGAGAGGGTAAATTACAACGTTTTTTAAGAGCGCTTAAAAATAAGGGCCACTTAGACAAAGATACCTATGAGAGAATCTATCCAACTGGTTCTCAACCAGCCAGGTTTTATGGGCTACCTAAAATGCACAAGGCTCGGCAGCCTAATGAAACACCTCCTTTTCGACCCATAGTATCTTCAATAGGTACCAACAATTACAATTTATCTAAGTTCCTTTATAATCTTCTAGAGCCACATGTCCCGCGTAAATACAACGTCCGCGACAGGTTTTCTTTTGTACATAAAATCAACCAGTTATCAACCTCAGGGAAGTTTATGGTATCTTTCGATGTTGAGAGTTTGTTCACTAGTATACCTCTTGATGAATGCAAAGATCTGGCGATCTGAAAATACATTTATCAAGGTAACCCTGGTCTTAAGATAAACGCCGCTAACCTAAAAACGCTTTTTACCTTCGCAACAGCTGAGACTGGTTTTTGGTTTGAGAGTTGTTAAGGGAAATTTTGTCCATGGAGAACTTGAGCTTTAGTTGATTGAGCACTGTCGTGACTCAAGAAATGCCTAATTCGGAAGAGGTAAGAGATGTGTTAGATTTGTATTAGATTCCTCGTAATCACGCGTTGTAAAAACGAAATTCAGGCGAGACGTATTCTAAAATGTCTTGTTCTTGCGTGTCTCAGGGTTTTACGTTTGGAGATTTCACAGCTGAAGAATGGAAAAAGTACTTCAGTAATTCAGCAGCCCAAATCGGAAATATACCACCGGTTGAGGTAAAAATTAGCTCAGTAGATCTCTTAATTATGCGTACGTCGGGGAAATTGTGTTTAATTTCAAAGATTACATTGCAGGTCGAGACAAAACTTACTCACCCTTTAGTTTTCGATCGTCTCTCGCATTGGTTTATTTTTTGTTTTACTGAGGTTTTCTATTTCGTAGTTTCTCTTCGACTTCGATTACTCAGATCACGAGGAACGAGGCGATGATTTTAACGGTACCGGTATGTATCTAATACTTTGTAATTTACATTCGTGCGAGCATCCTCACTCGGAAAACGAGATTATTTTAAAAATATACATCGACATTTAATTTGAGAGGCGCTACAGGTTGATCTTGAGAGATAATGATATTAGCGACTTATGATTGTGATGATTGTTTGTCGCAAATATGAGCACTATTCTGGCTCGTCTTTGATATGCCCGAAGATGAGTTCAAATTTAAAAAACTGGTGTGATATCGAGTTTGTGTAGTGTACGGATCGAAGAGGATCCGAGATGGTGGGGCACAGTAATATATCAAAATACCATCAGTGATAATGGTTGTAAATAGAATTCCCTTGTCAAGTAATGAATTTTCCTATATTGATCACCCTGTTACGTGCAGACAGTGGCAATACCCACTTCCTTAGTTTGTTGAAGGTCAGGGCCATTTAAATATATATTTTGTTTCGATTTTTTCTTACTACGAGAAACTGATGAGTAAAACAGATTGTAACCAATTATTCCCAGCAAAAAGTGCAGATTAATATCTCTGTTTTTTCAATTGGAATTCAAAAGTTTCCATCACAAGCAATTATGAAGTAAATGTCGTGGATGGAAAGTAACAAATTTATTGCTAAGCTCAGGTACATGTAAACTTCAGTGGTCCTGTGACCCCTATGAAAGGTACAAATTTATTGCTAAGCTCAGGTACATGTAAACTTCAGTGGTCCTGTGAG